TTCTATCTCAAGTTTTCATATCCAATATAGTATTTTGATTTAGAATCTGAAATTGTAAATGAATTAAGAATAATCAAAAATTGAAAAGTGAAGAAACAAGGAACTGGAAGAAGAAGATGATGAGATGAAGAAGAGGAAGAAGATCGAAGAAGATGAAGAAGAAAGAGGAAGAAATTAAAGGAGAAGGAAGAAGAACGTAAAGAGGAAGAAGAGGCTACCTGGTGCGCTGCTATGGATTCTCCACCGGACCAGATGTGCGGCAATGTAATTGCCGATGCTATTCTGCCGCTTATCGATGATCATTAAGGGTGTTTTTGTCCAGTTAGGTAATTTGTAGTCCTAGTTTTGCAATTTAAACATAGGAGTCCTAATTTTGCATTTGTTCCATGTTTTAGTCCTATTAGGGGAATTCTCTCTTAATTAATTGGATGAATGAATTAGATGAAAGGGAAATTACTACGTATATATATTACGGAGTATATATATGTGTGTATAGTAATATATAGATGCAGTTCCGTGAAGGGATACGTATGACTAATTTTGATATTCAGGTGCGGATGCATTGGAGAGGAAGTTTTATTTCAAATGTGTGTGGATCCACCTCAGCTCCACGCCTCCACGGACTATGGATATCAGTGACGTGTCCATTTTATATGGGGTAGAATCCATTTTCCCGATGCTCTTAGTAGGCTGAAATAAATGATTAGCAAAATGGATTGAACTTTCTAAATTTTTTGTGCGGCTGAGTTGGATTAAACAACTGTCCACACTGTGCGTTCGGCTCTCTAGTTTGAGCAAGCGTCTTAGATAGGTGACTCAGCAAAATATTTTCCCTAATCATTTTTTTGCTCATCATATACGTAATTCTTTTTTGAATCTTACGAATTGAAGAGGCCAAAGCGTATCACGACATCCTATCTAATAGTGGATGGATTAATTTGACATAATCTTTTAATCTCCTTTTTATTAATTTGACTATGAATTACAACAAATTATAATCTCTGTAGTGGATGGATTGTACGAATTGAGCAACAAACAAAAGTTCAAGTAATTATAGTAAATGTATGTTAACCCTAATCGTAATTTTGAAACCTGAATTTTTAGTGGAATATGAAGTATCGATCTATTGTCATATGATGCCTTCTGAAATTTTAGGAGATGGTCGCTTTGTTGGAAATACTTGTACATATAGCGGAAGTTATACATGAACAAATCGAATGAATTGTTCTAATAATTCCAGGACCTTCATCATATTGAACAATAAAGTATAATAAAATACTACCCGGATCAATAGCGTAAAAACGCAGGAGGATGAAACGAGGTAGACGACATTTTGGATCTTCTTCAATTGAACCGTCTTGAAGCCTTAGTCTCTCTTCCGACGGGGAGAAGAGAAGGGAATGATGGTTCAATATATTGGGGATCATAGCCTTTATATCGAGTGTGTTGGTGCTCCCATTAAACAATAACAAGTAACACAGGCCTCTGCCCATTTATTAGGTCCATACATTTATCTTAATAGTATATTGGGCTTAGATAATATTGACCACATAAACAAAACTCAATCGATAAATAGCTAATACAATAATTATAATATTAGCCCATATTAATTATTGGAATAAAATATTCCAACACGGTTGTATATTGGTATGAATTACAGGTAAAAGTAAGATCATATTAGTAATACCGGCCATGGGGGGGAGGTAGCCTAGACATTTGTCTAGGGCCTCCAAATTTGATAGGGCCTCCATTTTAAAAAAATAATAATATTATATATACCTTAAATCTTTATAAATAATAATATGATATTGCATAAGAATAATGAATAACTTATTTTATTTATAAAATGCTGAAAGTATTTAGAGAATCCACCGTTGTGTTGGAGATGAAATTTAATTTTAATTGAATTTGTGTCCGTGTCAGCTTCATTGGCTGTTCACATCAGTGACATGTCCACATTTTACCCAGAACAAAAGAAGTTGGCAAGACATCACACATCACTAAATAAAATACTAATAGAGCATCTTTAATGCTACATTGTTAACATGAAATAATTTTTGACAAATGACAATCAATAATTGGAATAGTCTTTCATGTCATATAACCGTGATGCAAACAAACCGTGAAATCCAAAAATATGGTCCAATGCATATCGTTCACAGCCCATAATAATGCTTACGTGTAATAAGCATTTTGTTTTGAAAATAAATCAAAATCAGATCAAGAAATCCTCCTGCAAGTGAAAACCCTTCCGACGGCTTCTTACTTCTGCTTCCAAGTTCTTGGCGATGAGCTTTTAGATTTGTTAAAACCTATATGAATTGTTAATTTTTTTAGATAAAAACTCATGACCTTCCTTCTGCTACACATAAATTATAGATTTGTGAGTTACGTGGGTGATTTGTGAAAGAATCCCACTACTTGATGCAAGTTGATGCCGTACGTGGGTGATTTGGTTTGGCGGATAGATTTTTTTATGGGCAAGAGAATTTACCAGATTTTTCCTTGCATACTTCTACCGTTCTACGTCAAAATATGCCGAGTCAGCATGTTAAACACATTGTTATTCCAAAACAGTCGTGGTAACACTGTTAATGTTGATTTTTGACACATCAGCACTATATGAGATGCATTGGAGACGCAAATATATATATCAAATTCAATGTTAACATGGATGAATCGGCCATGTTTTTTTTAATGTTAACAGTGCCATTGCTCTAAGCTGCAATACACACCACTACATAAAATACTACGGAGTATTTGTTGCAATTACAATACAGAGTATCAATAGTTCTCAATATCATATTTCTAATACAACATCACCGTTATATCACATTTTCAATATCATCTTCTAATAATAACTTCTACTGAGACTTTCGTATTCCTCCACATGCTCATGAACTACAAACGTAACAATCATTTAGAAATTTCATTCAATCCTAAGAATTACTGAAATTTAGGATGTTTTTACTTGGACTGTAATTTGCTAATCTGGTCTGGTCTGGTCTGAACTGGTCTGGTCTGGTAAGGTCTGATTTCTTTGTATTTTTATAACTATCCAAGTCTGGTCTGATCTGGTTTGGTCTGGTCTGGGACAAATTACAATCAAAGTAAAAACATCCTTATACTTGGTAGTTTTGTGATCATATACTATAGCATGAATATATATATATACGGTATTGAACATGAAACAGAATAAAAGAAAAAGACACAGAGAGAAGATGGAGACAAGGAGATGCTACCTACAAATTAAGGATGGCGTGTAACCACTAACTAATGAGTTTGAGGAAGAGTGAAGCAAAACATACTGCAAATCAAAGACAAAAACAGTTAATCAATGACATTAAGTTTCAGACTTAAACAATGTCATGCCACTACAGACCTGTCATGCACTGCAAAGATCGACAAAAAATACTGCAAATCAAAGAGTGAAAATGTTTATAAAAAGTAATGGTGTCAATGCTACAAAAGTGACTACTTTTAAAGCATCCTTACAAACATTACCATGTCATTACATACTTGTTATGCACGAGCAGGGGCGGAGCCAGAGCAGTGGGTCAGACTGGACCGGTACAAAGAATATTTTTGGGAAAAAATTTACACGGAATTTTTTACACTAAAAATATAGACATTTTTAAAATTTGGCCTGAGTCAGGGCCAGGGGTGGCCACCCCCTAACTACGCCCCTGTGCACGAGGTAATCATCTACCCCAAGTGAATCCACTTCATTGTATATTCAAAACTTATTTATACGGAAACAAAGTCTGAAAATGTTGGGATCCCTCCTAATTGGAGATATTCTAGAACTTTCCAGAGAATCCTAGAGAAGTCTATAACTCTCTAGAAGCTTGTGGAATAGTGTGGAATCCTCTAGTACATTCTGGAGATGTGTGGAACTTTTCAGAAGCTTATGGAAGAGTATGGAAGGATATGAAAGAGAATGGAAGAGTATAGAGACTCCTAGAGTGTGTGGAGCATTCTAGAGAATCAACCGCCACCTTTGGATACAAATCATCCCCACTATTCATTGTGAAGGTGGAGTAGTATAAATGGGGGGTTAGAGGGCTTCATTTCTAACTATCCTAGTAAGAGATAATTCACTTCCAACAGTGAGAAAGCTAGAGAGTTAGAGAGCCTATTTGAGAGATAAGAGAGTTAGCTTGGGAAGTTCATATCCTCAAGCTTGAATGAGACACCATTGAGTGAGACAATTTTGTAACATCTTTGTAAATCCTACTATTCTTTTGTATAGTGGAAGAATCTCCATATTGAGAATTTAAATCGTGTACTCTCATTGCTACATTAACTCTTAAGTGCCTATCTTAACTTCACGAAGCGGGAAAGTCCGGAGTTTTTCCAACCGAAAAATCAATGGGGGTTTATCTTGGGAGAAAATTATGATATTAGTAAAACTCTCACTTGGCAGAAAAAGTCTTACTCACAAAAACAGTTCCAAGAAATGGAGAATTTTAATGAATCATACTTGATTTTTATTTCAAGCATTAGTCCATCATCAAATCCAAGGTTAAGTAGTTTCAAGAATCAACTGTTTCTTTTATATTTTCTATCAGAGTTCAAAATCCACAACCTAGAAGTAATTTATTCCAATGAGCAATCTAGAAGAATAAGCTAATACCTAAGTTTTCAACAGTAAGTTTAACCATTATAATATTCACTTACGTGTTGAGTTGTTACATAGTTTATCAGTAGATATAAACTACATACCATGAGTTATGAAAATGCATCTCTCACTAGTAGAAAACTGCTTTACAGTGACACTTTTTTTGTGACACTTTTTTTTAAAGTGTCACTAATAGACGACTTAACTAGTTACTAACATATAAGTGTCATTAATATGTGATACTACAACATCAATAAATACTTGTGACACTAAATATAAATTTAACATTTTTTTTCATTTTTTTTACATCTATTTCCCTCCTAAACCTAATAAATTCCCTCCACAATTTTCATTTCCCCCCAAAACATATGCCTCCACCCAAAAAAATTTCCTGATCGATGCATATGCCTCCACCCAAAAATATGCCCCCACTCATTTACACCTTATATCACTTATCTTTCTCACTCATTCACTCTCACATATCTGCAGCCTCATTCACATAAACCCTAATTCCATCGATCAGATCCGTTCATCTCATTCCAGATACAAGCCGCCAGCAGTCGATCAGCTTCCGCCGACAACCTCCTCAGGTCCGCTACCTGTCCGCCAGATTTCAATCGACTGATGACACCGACTGTTTAGCCCAGACTCTCCTTCAACAACGAAGCTCTGCGGCCCTCTCTCTGGACTCTCCTTCAACAACGAAGATCTGCCATCTCTCTGAACTCTCCTTCAACGACGAAGCTTGAAGGTAAACTCCACACATATTTTCCACTCAATTCAATCAACGGTCTCCTTCCGTATTGAAGTATTCATGTGCTGTTTTACGGACTGTTTTTGAATATTTATTATTAGTACTATGTTAATTTACTGTTTGAATATGAAGTATTCAATTTTTTTTGTGTAAAAGCTTGATTGTGAAAATTTTATTTTTTTTGCCTGAAAGCTTTGTTTTCTTGCCTCTGGTATTTTTTAACTTGGCTTTTTGGTAGTTTGCTGCTCTTGTCAATTTTAATCATTAAAATGGTTGGAATTATTCATGTCATGCTTATTGTTTTAGTTAAAAACTTTATTTTTATGAGTAGCTAAATTTCTATGTCCTAGATTATTTGGAGCTTGATTTGGTTATCAAGCATAAATTGTAATTTTCTACAGGTTTTTCTATCTATGTTTTTTTAATTGTTGCAGAGGTTATTCTATGTATTATTTTTACTGCTGCAAAGGTTTCCATTTATATACAAATTGAGTTGAATCCCCTCTTTCAACAAAGATGATATATTTGGATATTAAATGGAGCTGGATTTAGTTATCAAGCATATAATGTAATTTCTATGATTTAAGAAGTATGTGTACATGTAGACTATGATTGCATTCATCTAATGATTTTTAGGAAATAATAAAAAGGACTGAAATGTAATTCTTAATTGAAATGACTTGAAAACATGTACTGAAAGTTGATGCAAAGACTAAAACTGTTGTGTGTGAACTTGTTAAATGTCATCCATGTTCTGGCCTTTTGCATGTGAAAAGAGTTTTCACAAGTGGTGTCAAATGAAAAAAGTGGGAGCAAAAACCCTTTACAAATTACTCATTACAAGCTTTTTACCCCTGTTACTGTTTTGAACTTTACGAAAACATATACAAAGTTCAAAATAGGTTTTAAGCTATAACTTTGCACTCATTACAAGCTTTTTACCCCTGTTTTTGTTTTGCTACATGCTCTGTTGTGCGTTTAAAGTCTTTAAGTATTAATTGTGCTAAAAACCATCACAGATTGTTTAGCAATGAAGATGAAAACAGATGGGCATCTGTTTTGTGGTTGGTTTGGGATTTTGTTCCTCTATCATTTTTTCTTTATATTCAAATTTTCACTGACTTCAAAAATCAGTCATGATTTTGTCTAAAGTACCTTTGATATGAAATTAACTTCAGTACCTTTCACTGACATGCCATGAACTTAACATGTCTTTTGATCACTTCTTTTCTAAAGTACCTTTGAAATGAAGTGAGGAGTAATAGATCTTTCTTTGGTATAAATTATTATGCCCTTAATATATTTACATATCAGGTACTAGTTTTGAGATGGATAGATCATGGATAAAAGAAGGTAATAGGCTGTCTGCTGAGTATACAAATGGTGTCAACAATTTCATAGACTTTGCTATGCTAAACTCCGACAATCGTAGATCACTTAGGTGCCCATGCAAAAATTGTTGCAACTTGGACTTTCATACTCCTGAACAAATCAAGGTCCATTTGTTAAAAGTTGGATTCTTAGAATCTTATGTTGTCTGGACTCGTCATGGGGAGATTGAGAAACCCACTTCATATAGAAGTTCAGAGTCCCCCTTTTTACATGAACAACGTGAAACCGAAGACATGTTAGGTGACATTTATGAACAGTTAGGTAATAACTCCAATCGCTTCAGGGAGTTAGTTGAAGATTCTGAGAAGCCTCTCTACTCAGGTTCAAACCATTCAAAGTTGTCAGGTTTGATGTTGTTATTTAACATCAAAGGGAAATTTGGGTTGTCTGATCAAGGCTTTACAGCTTTATTAGAAGCTCTTTCCACTCTATTTCCTGCAGATAACTGCATTCCCAAGTCCATGTATGAGGCCAAGAAAGTAATGAAAGTTTTAGGATTAGATTATCAAAAAATCCATGCTTGTCGTAATGACTGCATCTTGTTCCATAAGCAGTACACTGATCTTGAGAAGTGTCCGACATGTGGTGAGTCAAGGTGGAAGGAAAAAAAGAATGGCGCTATATCTTCTGCCCATCGAATTCCAACTAAAGTATTATGGTACTTTCCTCCAATTCCTCGATTCAAACGCATGTTCCAATCACCCAAAACTGCTGAGAACATGACGTGGCATGCAAATCATCGAATTAAAGATGGAAAACTACGTCATCCGGCTGACTCTCCAGCTTGGCATCATATCGATAAAATGTGGCCTAACTTTAGCGAAGAGTCTAGGAATCTGAGGTTGGCTCTCTCAAGCGATGGAGTCAATCCACATAGTTCTATGAGCTCTTCTTATAGTTGTTGGCCTGTTCAGATGGTCATTTATAATCTCCCGCCATGGTTGACCATGAAGAGAAAATTTATGATGCTCTCACTTTTAATATCTGGTCCTAAACAGCCTGGTAATGATTTAGACGTCTACCTAGAACCTTTGATCGATGACCTAAAAACACTTTGGGATGACGGTGTAGACGTTTATGATGCGTTTAAGAATGAAACATTCAAAATGAGAGCTGTACTAATGTGGACCATCAGTGATTTCCCTGCGTATGGCAACTTATCCGGCTGTACTGTAAAAGGATACTTTGCCTGCCCCGTATGTGGTCCAAAAACTAGTTCAACATGGCTGAAATGTAGCAAGAAGTGCGTATATATGAGCCACCGTCGCTTCTTACCTAGTGACCATAAATTTAGAGATCTTAAGAAAGTTTTCAACAATAAAGTTGAGAGAGAGGGACCCCCTGAAACTTTAACCGGTCAAGATGTCCTCAAAATTGTGGAAGAAATAGATTACTTTAACCTACATGAGAAAATGATTGACGATGGTGGAGAAATGCCCGTGCAATTTGGCACTTCTGCTGCTATACCTTGCCCTAAAAAACAATCTGAAGAAGCAATGACAAGAAGATCTCAATACATAGCGGATTTACTTGGAGTAGGCTTGGTCGGGCAGATCACACTTATCCCATATAATTCAGGGTAAGTTGAAGCAAGAAAGCTAGTATATATTATTTTTTTGTAACTAAGAGTGGTTGTTTTTTGTACTACAAATTATTTTTGGTATCGGGTTAGGCAGATCACACTTAGTAATGTGGTACTAAGATTTTTTTTTAACTTTTTAACCAAATTGTTTAATTATATGCAGCGATCACTGGGTTTTAGTTGCTATTGACATCGCGTTTGGGAATGTATACTACCTGGACTCGCTTGGAGATATTCCACCCTTCGATTTGCAAGTTATTGTGGACCAGTTAAGTGCTTTACTAGAGCGGAATGAATTATATTATGTGCTTATTGGTTGTGTTTGTATGAGCATGCTGGCCCATTTGATCTCCAAACTCACAATTTCAATATGAAGTGCCATCACTATTGCATGAATAATCTGTTTTCTTAGACTGTAAATAATGTACTGATCTCCAAACATTCCTTAGACTGTAATGTAATAATCTATTTTCAATGGCTCATAGATATGATAATCTGATCAATAACTATCATGATGCACATTATATTTTTAGGGGAGTGAAGATGTATCAAGCATCAAAGTCAAGTAGGCTGAAGTCAAATTGGATCAGAGTTGCGGTATGACAATTATACATTTGATTATATCTTCTCACTTCATAATTATCAATGCTTATTATATTTGAAATATTATAGTGTCCTAAGCAAAAAGGAGTCACAGAATGCGGGTATTTTGTGATGAAGTATATGAGAGATATCATTGCTGATGTCAGTGTGTTGAAGAAAAATGTGAGTTTTATCTATTTTTTTTCTTGTAGTAGTTTAATATATAAACAATTGGAATCTGAATTTCTTTTGTCATTAAAGTTCTCTGCAGTGAAGGAATATTCAGAAGAAGACATTTTACAAGTCCGTGAAGAATGGATAACATATGCTGCCAGCTTGCTAGGAGCGTGAGTATGATTGGCGTGTTTAATTTGTTCATAGGCCAGCTTGTTCATTGGGATTTAATGCATTAGTTGATTCATTCTGTTCAGAATGGGGTGATTTAATGCATGTGAAATGTTTGTACAGAATGGGGTGATATGTGGGAAGAAGCTTGTAGCAGACCAGGGCAGGAATTTTGAGTGAAGCACCATGGATATTTGACTACTAATCAGCACTTAAAAGTGCTTGACTGTATTACCATGTTTTGTCATTTTGGATTAAACTTCTGGTCTTATGACTTATATGTTATGTCAAAGCCATGGAATGTATTTTGATGAATTTACAAGTAACTTACATACTTTATGGTTCATGGAACTGCAGTAGGTTAGTCCTTGAAAAACATCCCAATGATACGTGTGATATGTATCATGCATTTTGATCAAGTGAATTGTAATGGATATATGTAATCTTACTTATGGATGTATGATCATTTGGTTTTTGGTGATAATGATGGTATTTTTAAAGTTATAGATTTTCTTAAATGCTTTGTATATGTGATTGAAAATATGAAACCATGTGTAAAATTAATGATAGCATAATACAAATATTTCAATGATTAATATACAATGTTATTGATAATAAAGATACTAAGTTGTCAAAAGTTGTTTTGATGTCTTGGAGTCACTTTTTTGTATGATACTTATGCATCATAATTAATCGTGTCATTACAGTATCACAGTTAATTGTGATACATGTGCGTCAAAATATTTAATGATACTTAAATGTCATAATTTGCTGACATTTCGCCTGTGACACTAAATTTAGTGTCACCATTTCCTACCTTCTGCGACATTTGAGAAGTGTCACAGAAACTTTCTGTGACACAAATTTAGTGTCACTATAAGGCCTTTTTTTACTAGTGTCTAGCCATAAATTTACTACTACATTCTAGATATAACCCAAAGAAATTCCGAAAAACAAAACAAAAAAAAATTGGATTCATTTTAGAAATTTTCACCTTTATTTGATCAAAAACATAAAAAGTTAATCACTTGGAGCGTAAAGGTGTAAAAAACAAACTATTGGGTGTGTCTCGAAAAACTAAGAAAAATTAATTAAAATGACTAAAGAAAAACAAGAAAAGAGATGGAGCATAAATTAGTCAAAACTTGTGCTACGCACGATGTGCGTAAAATGTATTCGTTGCCTCCCTAGGTGCTAGGAGCGTTACAATGATTGTTTCCCATGATATGATGACTACAAACAATTGTTTGAACACTCAAACGAATTGTTCCAGCGAACGTGAACAACCTAGAACACAAAGGAATATTTTAAGAGATAGTTGGAGGAGTTTTTGAGCTAAAGAGAACGTGCAGTTCGTGTATGATTGCATGTGTTGTTGCAGAGCACCTGGTAGCTATTTATAGGAAGGATTTGTTGTGTGTTAATGGAAAATTAATGGACCATGACATTGGGCATCTATTGTTCGAACGTTTTAGAAGTTATTCAGAACAGTCTGGCCGAAGCCTTCTGATTCTGATCAGAAGCGTCTTGGTCATAAGCCTTCTGATGCGCAGCGTCAAGGGAAGAAACAAAAATTAAATCGTATCACGGGAAGAAAAGTCTTGCGGTTTTTCTTCTCCGTTTTTTCGGGATTTGATTGGCACCCCCTGCGCGCAAAGAAAGCCTTTCCACCTAAAAATTTTAACTACTTCAAAGAGGCTTCTACTTACAAGGGGTGAAAATCCCTTGGGTTTAACGGTGTGGAAAAAAACCACACTCAAAACCCATCTTTTCTGAGTTTTTCCGTTTCAACGAGTGAACTTCGAGAATCAATTTCTCATTCACCCGTTATCCGTTTTCAGTGTACCATATATCAAATTGTAGATCTTAACAAGAACAATCCAAAACCACTTTGACCTGACCCAAATTGGGAATGAACCCCACTCAAAATATTGTCCTAAATTGCTCATTTAATGCAATTTTTAACACATTTTTTCAACACAAACCACTAGGTTAATGCATATTAGAAATTAAGTTATATCTAAGAATGGAAGAGAAATTCAAACATTCCCCTTGTTGCAGTCATTGACTTTGAAGATTGTTCAAAGGATGTGTACATTTTTAACTACCTGCTATTTTGTTTTCTTTGTATAGTTAAACAAGCCTGGAAATTATACGAGTATTTTGATGTCTGGATTTAACAAGTGTGGACAGTTCACGACTATATTATCAATTTATTAGTCATAGTCTCATAGATCAGACTCAAAACTATGTTACTAGTAAGGGGTGTTTGGGTCTGAGTCTTAAAACTGCTTCTGCTCTTTTTGTGCTCTTTCAGGGAGTAGAAGCAGAAGTTGGAGTGTTTGGGTAAAACGTAAAAGTGCAGAAGTAATTCTGGTGTTCTAATTTACTCCTATAATAATAAGTTATTTTAGAAGCTGAGGAAGACCAGCCTTTGAAAACTGATTGTGATTCTATTTATCCTTTGAAAAAGAAGAAGTTCCAAACACCCCTAAAACAATTTAGATTCAAGCTACTCCCTCCGTCCCTTAAAGGTTTGCCATGTTTGACCGGCACGCAGCGGCGGACGCAGGATTTCCCGATAGCAGGGGCGGCAGTAGAAGAATATACATACAAATACATATATATTAAAAATTTCGGGGTAAATATACCTAGAATTTTTTTTTTTCGGAGGGGCGGCAGCCCCTCATTGCCCCCCTTTGTGTCCGCCGCTGCCGGCACGTGGAATAATAAAGTAAAAACTGTGTGGTGGATATTTGTGCAGAGGAGAGAGAAATAACATGAGCCACAAATTGATTGATTAAAAGGGAAAGTGGCAAAGTTTTTGGGACAACCAAAAAAGGAAAGTTGACAAAGTTATAAGGGACGGAGGGAGTACATACGGAGTACGTAGTAATTCTGGGTGGTACTCTGTTTTGCTATCAAAAATGGAAAGTTTTCTTACAATAAAAGAGTAAAAGGAAATGATTCTCAACATCACATCATACCATATGTCCATATGAGAGATTCAACGAGAGGAGATGCCAACCTGTTATTAGACACAACTGCTATTTTACCAGACTTTTGAATAAAAGAAAAAGCTTATTCAAACAACCTGCTATTCAGACAATTAAAATTTTCAGGCTTACAATAAACAATAATTTCAGCGTATGAATCAAAATAAACAGCTTCGCAGATACTTCGTATAAAGTAAAATTTTAAAATACAATATAAAGTACTAAAAAATTAAGTGGCATAAAATAGGTGGCAAAGTACTGCAGATGAAGAAATCCTGGAGCTGGAGCGGCAAGAAGTAAAGAGATTTCAACTCCTTAACTCTTTTGACATTTTTAATAAGTGAAAACGTTGTTTTGTAAATAGTTTTTCAGAATTAGCGTTTTTGGATGGAACCGCTGAAATGAAAACACCATAAATATGAGAGTTTTGGGTTGACGTTGTGTAAAATTATATAGTGTTTTCTACTAATTGTGATGGCCAAACAACTAAATTGTCAAACATCTTCTGATAACCCGTCAACTTATTTTGCTAGTGAAACCCGCTTACTGAATCTGTTATTGAGAACCCGCTAATAACATCCGTTAACCGTTAAATGACAAACACACTCATAGATGAACTGATGAAGGGGTACTTTATTACATGAAAAAACTAGATGTACACAAGAAACTGTTTTAAAAAAGTCAGTTTTATACACTGTCAGTTCATTTTAAAAAGATTGAAACTGTTACACAGACGAGATGACAAGAAGTATACACTTTGGGCCTGTTTGGTAACGGCTACAACAGCTGAAATGGCTGAATAACCTGAAAAGGCTGTATTTGTTAAAGTGAAAGTGTTTGATATTATGTTGGCTGAAAAAGTTGATTGAATGTAGAATTACCAAAATGGGTATTACTCCGTATCTTATCATTTGACAAAAACAAATGTGTTGGACAGTTAATCCAGATTTATTAGGCAGTTAATTTAGATCTATTGTATAGTTTGAAAAAAAAAGCATGTTCCTAAAGTTCTCGTTAATGCATCGGTTTAACAACCTCCTGCTAATTAGGGCTCTACAGAAATTATTTTATTCCTTAAACTGTTTAAGGATATACCACTAATAGTTTAGCTCTTATACGTATTGTCTTCTGATATTTAGAGCTCATAGAACTAATTCTTAGTTCGATTAAAGAGCTGCTTTGGCAAAGATTTGAAATCAAAGTTCGATGGAAAGTAAAAGTAGAGCAGGGAACGAAGATGGGCATCCTAACTCCCGATAGAAGGATATAGCAGTAATTGTATCTACCTAACAGTAAAATAATACTCCCTCCCTCTATTAACTTCTTACTTTCCTTTTTGGGCTGTTCCAAAATAATCTTCTCATTTCCCTAAATGGAAAGTTATCCTACATCAAAACAGTGTCAAACAGTGCAAAACAATGTCAAACAGTGTCTAAACAGTGTCAAACAGTGTCTAAACAGTGTCTAAACAGTAAAGTCAAATTTATTTCCTAAATATGAGTAGGTCAAAGTAGGAACTTAATAGAGGGACGGAGAAAGTAAGTTTCAGCAGATAAAGTAGGTCTGAGGTTGTTTTTTTGGCTGAAAATAATAATGGGTGTTTGGCTATTTTTTTTTTCATTTTCAAGCTTTTCAACCATTTTGTGGTCCTCCAAACGGCCTCTTTAGTTTGTATGCACAATCAGCTCTATTTATACACCAACTCTATAACAAAAAGATCTTCTTACTTTACGTTTTCATATATAATTAACTAATCTTCTTATTTCTAAATCTTCTTATGTTTCAACTATTTTCTCATCATTTCAGATACTTCCTCTGTCTCATTTTGGTTGTTCTACTTTCTTTTTTGGATTGTCCCAAAATGAATGTCTTGTTCCCTTTTTTAGTCAAGAAATATGTGGTTTTTATCCTTTCAGTTTATTCTACTCAAAAATCATCACCCCCACTTTTATTTTTCAATCATTTTATTAATAATCATGTGAAATTACTGTCAAAAAAAAAAATTATGTGAATTTGAAAGTGAACCACCAATATAGGACGGTGGTAGTACTTTCAAAGTAAGAAGATCTTTTTGAGTACCCAATAAAAGTAAAGAATGGTCTGGTAATGCATTTCCAAAAATGGAGTGCAATTAAATATAACTTGGGCACGTGAATCAACTTGGCAGTGCAAGTTTCCTAAAACGATCAAACAGTAGAGCCTTACTGTTAGTTTATGCAGTACAGTAGACTATGAATTGGCACCACCGCGAACGATAAAGACGGTAGTTGGCGGTTCTAATCAGAATCTGTTCACAATATGAACGTAGATTGCACATATCAAAACTTGTACAGGTATCCCAAAATATATCTCATTTTGTACACACTTCTGAATTGTCTGTGTACACAGACAATTCGTTTGAAAGAGGACAAGACAATCTATCCAAATTTCTGTGTACA